ACCCGAACCCCGGACAAGCGGCAGATGATGGATGGATGGATGGATGGATGGATCTCAACCACTTTTTATGCCTCGGCCTGCATGGACTGATCATCCTTCTCACTAAGTGCCTGTTTGGGGTGTCTAAGATAGATTTTCTGGAGCACCACGGCACCAAAGATTGTTTATTCCTTTGATATCTAAGGTGTTTGTTATGACTAATTTCCCAGTACCCCACACAGTATGAGCACTCCAGTAATTTGTAGGGATCGTGAATTTCTATCATCAGTTCATCTCCCAAGGAACCTTGCATAAGCAGCCTTTTAAGGATACACTGCAAGGCCAAACACCGAGTACCACATCATATGGTTCCAGGATAGAGCTAAGGCATTCCTGGGTGTGAAACAAACTCTGGCAGAGGCAACCGTCCTTGCACACCCACTGCCAGATGGTCCCATTGCCTTGCTTGGCAGCAGCACCTTGGCTACATCTCCAAGTTCATAATACACATCTAACATGTTGCAGGCAAGGACAATGCAGTGGTCTATTGCCTGTCCTGCCCTGCACTTAGTGCCATGCACATATTGGCTGATAATCAAGTCATAGATCTGGAACTCCAAGCATTCAGAACAGTTGAGATAAGTCTGTTACACAAATACAATGCTGTGGTGCTGTGAAACTAGTTAACCCTCTGGGGACTGGGGGTAGGGAACACACTTTCACTGACTGGGGCATGATCACACATTTCTTTCAATATCATAAACTTAATTCATGGCAAATTATTATATTTATTTTTATATAATATTTTTGTTTTGGCATTACACTCATCATAATTTTAATGTACAGACGCTTCTCTACCTACCATTCGTAACTTAAAATGTTCGTAAGTCGTTATTCAACATCATTTTAAGGGTATACACAAGTACAAAGAACTAGGATGCTGGGAGTATGCACGCTACGCTGCTGTGCAGCGGGAGTAGCGGCCAGAAGTTGTACTAGGCGGAATTGGCGTGCAGAAAAAAATTTGATATTGCGGACAGGAAACGGGAGCCCAACAAACACAATTTGGACTTACAGTCCTCTTCGTTCATATGTCTGAAAGTTCATAAGTTGAAAGTTCGTAAGTAGAGGAGTGTCTGTATATTTTAAATATGTCATATTTGACATCAAAGTATAGATATTGCAAAATGCAGTTTGGAACACTTGCAGAAACATTATAAAAGTACATAGTAAGCAATGGTGCCAGTTAGTTTTGAGCCCAGATATCTGATCACCAGTCTTGGGTACATGAAGATGATTAAATGATGTAGTTGCAATATTCAGTTGGATAAATAAATAAGAAAAACCTAACTCATATCACTATTTCTGGCCTCCTTCCATTGAATATGTACAGTAGGAGCTCTAATGTGTATGCATAAGTCATTCACACTTGGCCATATCCACCCCCCCTTTTATGGTGCTGATGGGGATGTATCTGGATGGCGTTTCACCATTCCGTTGTTCATAAAATTACCAAGTGAATGCGATTTGAATACGTGGGGTAATGGGGTAATGCGGCTATTCAGAATGTGAATAGTGATCTTCAGGTGTGAGCGGTACTACATGCCCCCGATGCAGGTAAAACAAAGTAAGGTGACATGGTTTACTTTTTTGCCTATTTAACCTAATTTTAAAAACTTTAATACTTCGGACAATGGACGTTTTGAAAAGAAGACAGATTACGGATTTAGTCACCGTTTTTTCATAATTCTGCATAAAGATTTCAGTGAGATATAAACTGAAATACATGAGAAAGATACGTGGCATTGCCGACCATGCCCCCGTCCCCAGAGGGTTAAAACTAGGTATGTGAGAAAAAGTTTTTGGTTGATAAAAACACCCATGCATCTATTTATTATACCCTCTCATCCTATGCAGAGTTGTGGGGGTCTGGCGCAAGGAAGGGAATAACTCAGGATGGGGCACTATCCCATTACAGTAAATAAAAAAAATATTTACGAATTTAGACTTTTTAAAAATGTAATTAGACACAACAAGGACAATAGAATTGTTGGATTAGACACCAAAAATACAAAACAAATTCTTTGGTCAGAGATGGCTTCATAATCCTTTTGTGAGCCTCACCAACACAGGGTTGATAACATCTGTATCCTCAGCAGCACTCTCTAGTGGTGGATTTAGGACAACTTTCCGATCCTGACTGAGACACAACAGCCTTTTTAATTAAATCCACCAGTGACAGAGAGAAAGCAAATGAATGTTTCTCACCACTGTATCTCTCAAACAAGAAAGTAGCCAAGAAAAGCGTTTTCTAATATGAATTTTTTTTGCAGTTGCTTTTTACTGTTACAGAGCTTTCAGCTGGTTTTTAAAATAATTGTTCATTTTGAGACAATGATAGATACAGTATAATACTAAGCCAAAACATAAAGTTCTGAGACTTAATGAACAGTCAATACAAACAAGTCTACACATTCTTTTTGAAATTGCAGGTTCTTGTGGGATACTGTCTACTTTTTCTCTTGATTTGTCACATTAAAGATAAAAACTGTGGTGTTTCATCCTCACCTCTAGGTGGAGCTGAGGGGAAGGTGAGAGGGTGATGGGAAAGAGAGAAGTGTACTGCAGTGTACTGTTCTGTGTTCTGCTCTGATTATAGGTGAAGTTCCAGACTAACCAGTGTCTTGATTCCATGACACAACATACTGGCAATGAGGATGGCGGCTTTGAATCTCAGCGAGCCTGCACCATTTCTACAAAGTGTTGGGGAACTGGCAATACTGTTTAAGGTTTAGATCCATATGTCTGAGAATTATTTACTGGCAGTGTCGGACTCAGATTTGCCTGATGCAAGAGAGCGGGCACTTCTTATACTCTCTTTGGGCATAGAAGGCCAGAGACTTTCTTACACACTAACAGTGGCCAATAACAAATATGACAGAGCAAGGGAGGTCATCCGTTTTTTTTACACCAAAAGTTAATGTGGTAGCCAATGTTTCAGACAATGTGGTCAGCACGGGGGTGAGACTATGGACTAGTTTGTGGCTGCTTTAAAAGAGCTGGTTGCTACTTTTTCAGTTTGGGGCTATGGAAGAGGAGATGGTTCCGGACAAACTTGGTGAAAAGACGTCAGGGAACGCTTGCTACTGGAGGTACCGCTGACTTATCTAAAGCTCTGACAATTTCATAAAGGTTTGACAACATTTATCACGCATGATGGTCTGTTCCTCTTCAGGAGGGTGCCGTATGGCTTGGCATCCGGACACAGCTATTTCCAGAGGATGATGTCATCCATTCTGAAAGGCATGTTGGGGGCATAGTGGTATCTTGACGACATCATTGTCACAGGTTAGATAGCCAAGGAACATAACAAACAGTTGACAGCTATGCTTCAGTGCATTGAGGAGGCTGGAGTCAAACTGAACCTCTCGAAATGCAACTTCAGACAAAAGGAACTGTCTTTCCTGGGGCACACAGTGTCAGGAAAGGGACTTCAACCTGATGCCTCACACGTGGCTGCAGTTGTCCAGGCACCACCACCTACAGACCTGCTTAAACTGAGATAATTTCTAGGGCCTACATCATGGTATTCAAAATTTATACCAGACTACTCTGGTGTTGCTGAGCCCCTACAAGAACTTCTAAATGGACCGGAGGCTTTCATATGGACACCTGAGGCTCAGAAGAGTTTTGACACAGTTAAAGAGCTAACTTAAAATGTTTAAGTTTAATTAAGTTAAAGACACTTATTGACTATTACAGCAAGTGACCTGAGGTAGCCTTTGTCTGAAATGATTCTTCTGGATTTATGACTTTATATCACAAAAAAATGCAATTTCAATAAGGGTGCTGACTTTATATTCACTTAAGATGTAAAAATGCATTTATTTGCATCCTGGATGGTGCTGAAGTGAAAGAGGATGAGAAAAACAGGAGAAATTACTCCAAGACATCAAGTCACAGTTAAACTTTAAGTCTCCTCAACCCAGTGGTAATTTTTGCACTATTCTAAACACCATATTAAGGGTACCTTAAGTTCCTGGTGAAGTGAACCGTCACACAGCTGATATCTTCATCTCCTTCTGAGTTAGGTGTAACGTCTTTCAGAGGAATGATGGTAGGGTGTGTGTTCTCAAAAATATTTTCTGGCTCCTCCTGTTCCAAATTGTTTTAGTATTTTTAACTTCTTAAAAGTGCATGGTATTTGATGTATTTGTATAGCAGAAAACTTTTGCATTTTATTAAATTTAACTAATTAATATCAATAAAATGCAATTCACTTTTCTCATCCAGGGGTACAAAAAATTGGATTCAGGCATTTACTTACTAGCATGTCTCTCGCTTGTAATTTCCACATTTCAAATTTCTTACTCATTGTTCCTTGAAACATATCCATTTGTTCTGATGATACCTGTAACTCCGGAAAAGAAAATGTTTTATGTAATGACATGGGAATATGTTTTCTCCGTTTATAAATTGAAAAATAGACATTACCTGTTGGGCATCCTCGGCAAGTTCATTTTCTACAACATGCATATTCTTGCTGCAAGAGTTGAAATAGGGAAGATGCATCATTTAGTGGTTCAAGCATACACAGAATGCTCATTCATAATTTGTAATTAATGGTTCTAAAATCTAGTGTTCTCTGAATTATTTTGTTGAAAAAAAGACATTGATGCTCAACATGTTATGATTTGATACAAATTAATGAAATTTTAACTCAGAACCCAAAAGCGGTGCATTTTAGGTATATTTAAATATTTGAAATTGTTGTATGTTTTTAGTGATCACATAGTGCAATATATTATCCAAAAAAAAACTCTGTACCTGATCATGATAAAGACAGTCAATGTGATAAGCCCAACTGAAACACCTATGGCAGATACCAGAGCAATGACCTTAAGCCTACCTGCCAAAGAAGAAATAGAATATCATACAAAATTATATACAGGTATCCATCGACTTCCATTGAGCTATCTATCTATCTATTTATCTATCTAAAGCTTCTTCATAATTTTGTGATCCTCTTACTTGCGTGGATCTTTTCACCTCCATGTGTGGTATATGAATGTATGGATCATTCAAGTCTCCCAGCTTACCCCTCACTTGGACAAGGAGAACAGGAGAGCGGTGGCTCCCCAGTCGGTTGCTCGCCTCGCAGTAATACTTCCCTCCCTCCCTGTGGGTGATTCGGGAAATGGTATATGTTGGGCCTGATTGGATTTCCCACATGTCAGCTTCATTGATCCTGAACCAGGTATAGTTCTCCACTGTGGGGTTGGCATTGCTGCTGCAGGTGAGAGTCACTGAGCAGCCAGCCTCAATGTCGCCAGAGGGCTGGATGGACACGGATGTGTTCTTAGGAGTGTCTGAAAGGAATGTTGATGCTTTTCAAACAGGTAATGTGTTAAGGATTTTTCTTTCCTCTAAAAACTGTTAACAGTTATACACATGGACTGGGGAACCAGGCCTTTTGCTCGGTGGCTTCTGGAATATGATTAAGAATGCAGTGATGAACAGTCACTAATCACAGTCCATGGCTATACATACATGATGCATAACAGATGCCTATGTCATTAAATTTTTTTAGTACATCGTATGTAATAAAACTTGGACTTAGGAATGGATAAATGAAAAACTGCAACACTGATTTCCTACAGGATCTGCAATGATTCTTCATACAGACACACTCACATAGTATCACCAAAGAGCGGTCGAAGGAGGTGTCCTGTCCATGCTGGTTGCGCACTGTGCAGTAGTACTGGCCGCTGTCCTGGGCACGCACACTGGTGAATGCAAGGTTCTGTGAAAAGCCTCTCTCATAGAGCTTAGATCCCATGATCTGAAACCAGGAGTAATTCTGCACTGGTGGGTTGGCATTGCTGTTACAGTTCAGTGTCACTGAGCTCCCCTCCATTATGTCCACAGGTGGGTTAATTGACACAGATGTGCTCCTTGGTGCATCTTAAATACAAAGTTCAGATAAATATAATCTGGAAAGTGAAAACTTTTGCAGGATTATATTGACCCTAGGCCACTTATCTAGCTTAATTCCAATTATATGCAATGTACAGAGCAATTTAAAAAATGTTTGGTTAGCTCTGCAGATACTGGAACAAAATGTAACAACTATGCCTTAATCATCAGAGAAATTCTTTATAAATGCCTACATATTGTTATTAAATACAAGCTGAGTGGAAAATAAACATTCAGAAGTACTGAGGGTAAAAAAATATTGACAAACATTAGTGCAACTTAGTTAAAGTAAATTTCCATTGATTTAAAAGCTTAAATGAATGCATCACTCCATTGAATTTTAAAGTTAAAACTAAAGCATATCATAAGTGCTTACAGGTGACATTCAGCAAAACAGGTCTGGATTTCTCCCTGCCTAGGGAGTTTTGTGTCATGCAGTAATACTCTCCAAGGTCAGACGGCAGCACCCTCCACAGGTGCAGCTCAGGCTTGAAGCTGTCTGGTAAACTCCAGTTGTCTCCATCCTTAAACCAAGAGTAGGTCTCCACAGCTGGGTCAGCATCACTGTTGCAGGTCAGCATTACTGAGCTGCCTTCAGAAATAGTGCTTTGTGGGCTGATCTCAACAGTGGTGAAGCGAGGGGGATCTGGATGGAGGACAGCTGTATTACACTGCTATTGTGATTCTCATGGCACTTTGATCTTATGATAGGGGGACACAAGGGTAATCTATACCTGGGTCATGATGGGCTACAGAAGAGGCCTGAAGATATGTCAGTGGCCAATTGTGTATATATCTGTGTGTGTGTGTGAGACAGAATCTGTGGTGTCATGCCCCACTCGTCTGCTTCTCCTGTGTACCATGCCCTCTCATCTACCTCGCATGGAATCCCCATGTTATCAGCTGTTTCTCGTTGTTGTTGATTAGTCCAGTGTATTTAAGTATTAAAGACAATTTCCCCACGGGGATCAATAAAGTATCAATTATTATTATTATTATTAAGTCCACGTTAAAGTGTGTGTCCTTTTATGGTGTATCGTGTTCCTTGTTGTTTTCTAACTAAATCCCTCGTTCACCCGATTCCCCGGCTCCTGTGCTGCTTCCCCACTCCGTGCCTGAGCATGTGCAGGACAGTGGTATATATTGAACAATTTACTTTTCATTCATTTTTCAATCCATTTCTATCCCCACTGCTATACTAATAAGTAGACAATGTAGTGAATTTCTATAACGTAACCAGTTCAGAAGCTGTACTGGTTGTCAGTACAAGTGATTTCCACTGTGCAAATAAAGTGTAATGTACAGTCAATAATGCTTAAATATAATCTATAAAACATCTATAAGACATCTATAAAACTCTTAGAATCTGATGTTTTGACCTTTTGTTCTTTTTGTGTTAAACTGACCCTTTACCAAGGCATCTATAGTGAAGGCCAGCAATGTTTATTGGATTTTCATACTCACATCCCACTGAGAGGATAATACCCAGGGACTGGATGCTGGGTGAGGATTCTGCATGGCAGGTATAGGTACCAGCATGTTTCTGGTCAAAGTTATAAATGGTCAGTGGGTTGGACAATTCCAAACGTGTAGCATTCCTGTAGAGCACAAATGTTGTTCCTCTGGATGCACACCCTGTAGCTATACAGCTCAAGTAGACAGTTTCTCCAGAAGCAAACATGTTTCCTGCTCTGGCTGGGTGTACTTGAACCTGCAAATCTGTCACAAAGACAAATTAAAATGCTCAAGGTTTTAAATAGCTGGAGAATTGTTTTATTTTGTATCTTAAGTAAGTTCTTGCTTACTAGTTCTTCGTTGCCAAAATAAATTTATCATGAAATCATACACAAACACATATTGCTTCTGTGTGACTTGACAGTGTTATTTGATTCATATCATGAAAATTGAAGGATTATTTACTTTAATTTACTTAACATTAAATGAATATTTGAAGGAAATTTTAATTGAATAATTATATTATCTCTGTATCAATAGATGTTAATTGTCCTCTTACAACTGATTCCATTTTAACAAATGAAAAACTATATTCTATGATATCAGCAATTTTCAATCACCTGGGATTAAGGATCAGATTGCTTATTATTGTATTAACCACAAATCCTCAAATTATATACCTCCTTAAACAGATATTGTATTCAACTCTGACCTACTGTATGCTTTATCTTTGCATAAAAGAGCCTGCCAGAGAATATAAACATAGTTAAAGCATAATAAAATTGTAACATTACCTGTTACAGAAAGGAAAGTAGAATTGGTGAATGTCTGCTTGCCTTTCGGATGATCAGTTTCAAATCTAAAATGATATTCTCCGTTGTCTGTTGTCCTGATATTGGAGATCTCTAGCAGACATGACTTGGACCTATTAGAGTACCTTGTCCTTCCCTTGTAGGTTGGACTTACTAGGTTCAAATCTCTGTGAAAGGCATATTCCTGCTTTCCATCTGCAGTGACTCGGTACCACATCACCTTTGTCACTCTGTATCCATAGGGATAGTTGTATTGGCAGGGCAAGCTAGCTGTCGTGCTGGTCCAGATGCATAAGTCTGGGGTAGGCATTGTTATCCACCACTTATTACCTAAAACACCTGAAAATATAACGAGGTAGTGGGCAGTAAGATTTGCCCTTGTTATTTTTAACAAAGAAAAAAACGACAACTTGGATTTGTGAAAATAACAGATCAATACATTATAAATAACTTGATCCCAAGGCAAGGGCAAATGAATGGTGGGGGTGTATCTCCTTCTGTTTTAATACCCCACAGACTTACTTGCATAATACCAATTAAAATAAAATCCCTACCTGATAAAGCTGTGCAGGTGAAGATGCAAAAAAATGTGGTCTCCATCATGCTGTGTCCCATCCTAAAATATGACAGCAATTAAACAGCACCATGCAAAGAGACAAGAATATTAAACGGCATCAAAATCAATCATGAACAGAAAGTTACAAAGATGCCAGGCCTGTCCACCTGTGGTATGGAGAACTAGTTGAATTTTAAAGTAAGAAAGAGGGAAGATGGCTTTTTCCCCGCACAGCACCAGCTTGACGTCCTTCTGCTTGTGCTTCCTGCCCAGACGTCTGTCTTACAGAAGAAAAAGCCGCTTCAGCAAATTAACCTGCCAGATTTGGCAGTGCATCAGAATACGAGTGGTGATGCATTACACTCTGCTCATGTGTAATGTTCCTCAGCTGCATTTCGAAATCATTTGTAAATATGCAGCAATAGTTTGGACAGTGTTGTCTGTAACGAGTTAAAAAAATATTCATTATGAACTTTTCACAGTTTTTGGAAAACTATATTCCAGCTTATCTGCTTTATTCAACACTGCATGGATGAAGACCAGTGAGGGCACAGTTATGGTTTTCAACTGTAATCACTCTTTTCACCCATTTAAATTAATAAATACTACAAAATCATACTTAAACCTATCATTTGAGAGGCAAAAACATTTATTTCAAGCCACAAAAAATACTTCATAGCAGCATGTTTGATTTTTGTGAAACTGAGTACATTATTATTATTATTATTATTATTTATGTTTTATGTATACAGCAGGTGCCATTATCCAAAAAGACAAATGATTATGAAAGCAGGGTCAGAAAGTCCCTGGGGAAATTTAGGTGAAGGGCCTTGCTCAGGGGCCTGATGGTGAAATCACATTGATAACCAGGGCCCAGTTGTTCAAAAGTAATCTGATCGGATTTTGGATAATGGATTGGATCATATCATGAAAATGGGTTTTTTTAAAGCTAAAAATGATATTGGATTAGATTGCGTAATCCAACCTTGGTTTTAATCTGGATCAAACCCTCAATTTGCATTCAAAACTTTTTAGTAGGATTGGGGTAACTGATTCACAAAATCAGGATTTTTCTGATCCCAACCATAGGGTGGATTTCAGGAACAAAATGTAATAAAACTTTAAAACTGGTCAAAAAATACAACAAATGAATCTTGAACTGTATATATTTGTTAATATTTTGCACTTGAACCATTACAATGATTAAGTTAAATTTAAATTAGTCAAATAAGCAACATTTATATCATGCAGTATATATACTCACCTAAAGGATTATTAGGAACACCATACTAATATGGTGTTTGACCCCCTTTCGCCTAAAGAACTGCCTTAATTCTATGTGGCATTGATTCAACAAGGTGCTGAAAGCATTCTTTAGAAATGTTGGCCCAAATTGATAGGATAGCATCTTGCAGTTGATGGAGATTTGTGGGATGCACATCCAGGGCACGAAGCTCCCGTTCCACCACATC